ATTCAGATTTTCATGTATTGTAAATGTTCTCATTAATGACAAAAGAAAAAATATGCGGCAACCCTTGTTGACTGCTTGGACGACTTATCTACCGTGGGCATATGTTTCATTGTCTGGCAACCTATCTTTCTTTCTTTTCTAAGCTCTGATTTAATTCAGTGACTTGGCTAAACAAGATAGGATTTAAAAAAAAAAAATTATAAGCCGTTCATGCTCTCTGTGTGAGATTTGGATATAAACATCCTTGAAAATGTAGTAAATTATAGATATTTCCTTGAACTAGATGCCAGTAGTTGCATAAATGTGATTGATTATGTGAAAGGAAGTTGACCTAGGCTTCTTGGTACATGTATTATAGTAATAGGTAATTCAATAAACAATTAAAAATTCATTTCACAGTTTCTAATTTTCTTCTGAGTATGACTCCTAATTTCTCAGGATTCAGAACTCTATAAATAAGTTGCATGATATAAAACACTGAATTTAATGGTATCAAAGTTTCATCAATGATAACACAAGAGAATCATGGTTGAAACTTTGCTCCTATTAAAGCGGAAATTGCAAATTTTTAAGTTATATTTTTAAAATTTATTAAAATAAAGCCTGAAAATAGATGGTATCCATAAACAGTCCTACCTTGTTAAAGAATAATCCTATTAATCCTATAATTCACTATTGACAGCTGAGAAATTGGCAAAAATATCATTTTCCTCTTCATTTTCAAACGTTGAAAAAAGCTACTCCATGGTGGAAAATAGAAAACAAGGGAGGTAATTGTGTTATTATTTTCTGTGTAAATGAGTTGTAAGTGTGAGAATGACACCGATGATCGTATAATTGTGAGTTGACAACCTATTGAGCAAAAGACATAGAAATAATTATGTTTTGACTTCTTAGAAAATTTGCAATTTCCGCTTTAAATTCAGTAATTAATTGTATTACTGTTTTATTTAATGTGACCTGTTATATATTAGTCTGAATAATTAAATTAGTGTGTTAACATTATGAATTGTGCATTGATTGGTCATGTTCCAGTTTGATTATGATTCAGAATTTTAAAGTGTTTAGGTTTAATGATTAAATAAAAATTCACTTTAAAAAGTTTATCATGTTTCTTAAATTTTAATCCTAATTCAAATATAATAAAGAATTATGCATTTCATTAAAAAAAAAGAAAAATCAACGAGAATAAATATTTATTGGTTAGCGTTTTAAAAAAAACGAAACAAACAAAGATATTCCATCATAAATTTGTTGTTTCTCTGTTCACAATATCGTAGAAGAAGAGAAATAAACCGACTTCATCGTACTGACTTTAGTAATGAGGATCGAGGCTAGACCCTAAATTCAATTGCTAAATACTCGATTCAGGACTGAACATTTTGACTGAAATTTTAACTATTATATTGAGAACTACCAGCTCTTTATCTAATCTCTCATAATGTATCTTTAATAATTTAGATAGCATTTCAGGCCTAAAGAAAGACCTGCAATAGGCAGATTTTGCTCTTGCATAATGTATGTTTAATAGGTTGTCAAATTACTACTATATAATCATAGGAATCATTCTAGTACTTAAAAAACATCCACATAATTATTTAAAATAATTGTATCATTTCTTTTCATTGGAAAGCTAAGTTTACACAATGGAATAGGTAGTTGTCTCGATTGTCAAGGTCCGTGTTTAAACAGATAAGGATGACTGGTTGAGCGAGACTTTTCAAACCTGCACACGTGATAATAACACCGTAAAATCCAATGTTGGACTTAAAAAGAAAATAATATATTTGCCGATTTCTCAACTGACACAAGGGAATTATAAGATTTAGGAATATTCTTTAACAAGTTAGGACTGTATATATAGATGCCAGGTATTCGAAGGCTTTATTTTAACATATTTTAAACATATGATGCAATTATCGCTTAAAACGGCGTTTCCCAACCTCTGGGTCGTGACCCAACTTGGGTCGCGAGCACTTTCCGTGGGGTCGCGGACTTGTCTGAGAACTTTAAAAAAAATACTATCTTTTCATGTAATCTATCTATACAACTTCAATAGAAGGCTTGATCTCGCTTTAACTCCGTACATCTTATCAAGGCCTTCACGTAACACTCTACAATCTACATTTTTTCGTCACTAATTTCGATTGGTCTAGGACCCAGCTCTAGACCTCTCAGATTCCTCGATAGAAAATATCATCGCGGCGAATACCAAGTCTTGCGCTTTCTACCTGTGATAATCGAGTTGCAAAGTTCAAGGTTCGTTCAATGTCAAGGCTGCTGGAAATTTCCAAAACAAAGAGACTTGCCACTGCTAATTTTCGTGCAGATAAATTCTTCTCTAGTCTCTAAAACAGTTTTGATTGCTTTTCCGTGAGTTTTTCAACTTATCTATTCATTGAACATCTTCAGTCACTGATCGATCAGTTTGAACACTACTTCCCCGAGCTTGACGTCCAGTCATTCACCGTGGTCCGAGACCCATACAGTGCACCATTAGACGCCATCACCGACGATGATATCGCTCAAGAGGAGCTTGTGAGACTGCAGCAGGATTTCGGAGCTAAATCACTGTACAAGTCCTTGTCTTTGTCCAGTTACGGGGGATCACGTGGCTAAGTGGGTAAGACGCTGGCTCGCTAGCCTGGAGATCGGGTGTTCGATCCCTGCATTGGCCGAGAAAGTTCATCCAGATTTTCCGGCGTGGTTTCCCCTTGTCAGTGATGCAGGACAGAGGGCCTGACAAGGAAAGCTGTCTAGTCGTTCGGATGGGACGAAAAACCGAGGTCCGGTGTACACATTGGCGTGCACGTAAAAGATCCCTTGACAGTTGGAATTCGATATAAGAGTAGGCCGTAGTGCCGCTGTCCGGGCAAAATTTCCCTCATAGCACACTGTATGGCGTATGCCCGTCTTCATTAGCCCAGTTCGGAGCAGAACAGTAGGACGTTAAACCCCATTTCATTTCATTTGTCCAGTGCAAAATGCTTGAATCCTATCCACGTCTATCCAAGAATGCAACACGGCTCCTCATGCCGTACCCGTCGTCATACCTATGCGAACAGTCGTTTTCTACAATGGTTGTGATAAAAACAAAATTTAGGAACCGGCTTGAAATAGAAAGGGACATGATTGTCGCGCTGAGTGGCGTTGAGCCACGCATTGAAAACCTGGTTGCTGAAAAACAGGCGCGACCATCACACTGATTAAAAAAATCAATAATTTGTTATCAGACTTTTAATAAGTAAACAATAATAAAAATGAATGATAATGATGTTTCATAGTAAAATGTGACTTTGTTCTTCGAGGGGTCGCGATCTGATCCTGGGTCTGGAATGGGGTCGCCACCCAAAAAAGGTTGGGAACCTATGGCTTAAAAGAAGTATCCATGATGAGAAACTTAATTACAGTAATTGTTTATGTTTAAAATACAAAAAGAGTTTCACACTGTGCACATTACATGTATCTTAAAAGGGAAATAAACATAGTTTTATTTGAATCTTTGTAATATAAAACCAATGCATTAGTATATTTCACAGCCATAAGGATATCCTTGAGACAAGATATTATTTTGAGGAAAAGATGTGGAAAAAAAATCCCACTCAAAGTGTGATAAATTCATTTTTTTCTATGATTATTTGGTAGCATGTTTATTGTTGCTGGTCCTGTTAGTTGGTCTGTCTGTCCTGTCCACAATTGATATTCATGAGACAAAGAAGGCTTTCATTTTCCAAACTTTTTTATAATTACTTAGAGTTAAATGGTCCTTGATCTCTTTGAAAAACCTTGTAGACTCTCTTTTGGCTTATTTATGTAATATTTATGTTAGTAAAGATAATCCCCCAGGAACAAACTAGATCAACACTGTGTGAATTTAAATCAGTATAATCTTCACCAAAACGTGTTTCGGGCTAATAGCCCTTCAAATTGCCAACTGATGAAGGGCTATTAGCCCGAAGCGCGTTTTGGTGAAGATTATACTGATTTAAATTCACACAGTGTTGATCTAGTTTGTTCCTGGGGGATTATCTTTACTAATCTATTCTACACGGACTGGTTCCTGCTCTCCCTCAGATGCATCACTGAGATCCAAACCGGACCACATTGTTACAGGGGAATCTTCTGCCCTCCTACTTTTTCGAGTGTGGGGGTTTCATCGTCTCTTTGACTTGGAAATTTTAATATTTATGTTCATTAGGTGAAGCCTACATCTATTGATTTTCGAAGATTTTCGATAATTACTCATGGATTTGTTCCTTTGTTTTAATAAGTTTTATAAATCCTATTTCTGTTATTCATAATTTATAGGGGGTGGGTTGTGAGAGCTAGAATTTCATCCACAAATATTACTTTATTAGTCTTGAATACAGTAAAAGAAATATTTCAGTTTTCAAGACACCTGTTATATTGAACTAGATTATCAAATCTTGCAACATAGTCTTTTGGGTAAAGAAGATTTGTGTTAATGATTCACCTTGATAATTCCTATAAATTTCCCAGCTCTTGGTATAGTTCATCATCATTTAGTCTCACATATCAATTTAATAATACCAACATGCACAAATCTTATACATCAGGTAATAACTTAAACAGCCAACTTTTGAATAGACAACCTTAGAACCACATCAGCAATTCTAGATAATAAGTGAAATGACACTTGGTTAAAATTCTGAAAGAACTTCAAAAGTTTGCAGATCTGGAATAGAAGAACAAAGAAGTGATTTGGGCTACTTTCTTGCTTCAGTTTTAGTGTAGACCAATAATATTAATCGAAACATAATTATTTGCAAGAATTCTACATTATTTAACCAGACCAAAGCTGCTGGTTTGAGTAGTATATTTTTTTTAATCCGCCAAAAATTGTCTTGGTGAAAATATTGGTTGGGTGGTGTTGAGTTGATGTTTCTATCTGTTACTACTTTTCATTCCCAGAATTTTTTCAACTGGTATTGAAATAAAATCGAAATTTATTTTTCTATTTTTAATTTTTCTCTTTTCAGAAATTGTCAGTCAGCTAAACAATGAAGCTAAGGACAAAGTTATCTCAAAACTGCTGCAGTATCTGCCATTACTTCGTTGTGGTAATATGGAGGCCAAACGTGAATATTTAGCAATTATTCATAGTGCTTTATCCTATTGTATTGAAAAAGGTGTTGAAATAGAAGAAAGTCGACAGCTTTTGTCATATTCTCTCATTCATCCTGCCATTACAGCTGATGAGAGATCTAAGTTTCGTATGTGGTTAGGTTATTTAGAGGAACGATATACATACAGTATCAATAACACACGACAAAATCAGTTACAAGAACTGGGTTCAACATATTCTCAAGAGGCAACAGCCAGTCAGTTAGCACCTAACAATTTGTGTAGCTCTGATTCCCTCTCTCCTTCTAGTAATGATCTTCAACAAGATGGAAAACAGCAGACACAGTCTGCAAATGCCATGGACCCAAGCCAACAAGATGCAGGCTTGCCCCCTGAAAGCGAAAGGAACAATGGATTGTCTCAAATGGCACAAAATAGCTCATATTTTACGGACACAGTGTCTCAAATTGCCAGTGAAAAATTCATTTTAGAAAATTCACAAAAGAATCCTTGTCATTTTCCAGACAGTAGTGTATCCCAGCCACCACTCCACACTGTCCATAACTTTGGTGATGTAAATCAGTGGTGTCCGCAAACTGCTTCCCTACCCAATAAATCAGGACAATCTAATAATAGTGGTGGCTGGAATAATCAACTCAATCAAAGTCAGCTTAAAACAGTAGCATGGAGTAATCGCACAAAGTCTTTACCTAATTCTAGTACCAGTAATCAGTGGTCCACTCAGGGACAATCTTCTGCTAACTCTGAGGCACATTGGAACAGAAGTCTGGTGCAGTTAGATCAGAACTGTGCTGCCACTGACCCCAGTAACAACTCATTGTTTGTAAATAGTGGTTTTGGTCACCTGCAAGCTAACAGTACTCAGGGGGTTAATAAAATGGGTCTTGGTCCGAATAGTGGCAGTGGACATTTACCCTTACATGCAACACTGTCAGCTCCACCTAATTTTAGCTGTCCAACATCATCATCATCGGCAAGAGGTAAGATAACGCTAATATACAAATCAACAAATAGTGGTTGATATTTTCTAATAATACACTTACTGTATTTTATTTTTTGTGGGCTTGTTATGCAGTATGTGTCTATGATTTTATTCTTCATCATATTTAGTCATTAGAAATATACTCTCCGATAAAAATTGGAGGATTTAACAGTAAACCTGATTATACTCGAAATAACAACATTTAAGGGTTTAAGTCAGCATAATTAAGCCTCAGATGCTGTAGTGTAGTATGAATATATAAAAAACAAAAAGTTAATATCCAATTGACTTTAAAGTAGTCATTAAATAGTTTAAAACACAAAGAATAGTATTTGAAAAGGTGTCTATATAATTTTTGAAGAAAAAAACAACATAATTGTGACATTATTTCTATCTTTGTCCATACTAAAGACATTCTTGGTTAAAACAACTAGAAATGTTTTTATACGCCTACATTGAAATGTGGTCGTATATTGTTGTTGCCTACGGCAGTCTGGCATCTACAATTACTTGTGAACGCTCTAGAGGCTAAAGTTAACGATAACTTTGGTTATAATGAAGCAATTTGATTGGTCAAGGCTTTGGAACATAACTCTGCTTTTAATTGAGGTAGAATGTTTAAACTTGATGTAGATGTTCATCAGGTGAATGTCTTGACTGAGTTCAATGATTAACATTTCGAGCTGAAGCTAAGCAGAGCTAATCAATTTCATTGGTCGACGCTTTGGGACAAGATAATCTTGATTCTATCTGATAGAGATTGATGAAACTTAGTGTATAGTTTTTGTTTTCATTAGCCCAGGTTAGGAGCAGAACAGTACGATGTTAAACACCATTTCATTTCATTTCATTTTATAGTGTATAGTTTGATTACTCGATACTTTTGAAAAAAATAATTGTGTGATTAATTAAAATGTGTCATCTATTTTGGGATTTTGGCGGGGGGGACATTAGCCTCAATGTTGGCTTGTATAGTGTTTAACTCTTAAACGACCCAGAGGTTTGACGTCATAACGTCATAAAAACCCACGTCATAATGGTCAATAGTATTAAAATATAGATATGCATTTTAAAGTCATATCATTAATAAACAACTGTAGATAGACCCTTAATGTAAATGGATGAATTAATCTAAATTTAATGCCATTTTCATAAATATAATTTTATACAAAAAATTAATTTAGACTTTTCATGCAAAATTCATGTATAGAATGGTTATTTCTATTTTTTTTTTGTTCGGCTGTTGTGAACTAAAAATTATTCATCATGAATCTCTTTTAATTTAAGCTTATTTAAGTACCGTAATAGAAATTTGTTGATTAACTAAGCCTACTTCTATCACGTTCTAGGCCTAATGCAAGACTGTAAAAATCTACACTACAGATAAAATCTGAATCACTGTCATTCAATAAGGATGGTAATCTGTCATTAGGAGAATTTTGCCAAATAGGTCTAGACATATTACCGTTTTATTATAATTTTTCAAGGAGAAACAGTAAGATTTTTAACTGTCAAAATGTCAAACAGGAAGTAAACAAATGAGATAAAGTCGTCTGTTCATAAGGGAAATAACTCTCATTACGCTAGGAACGTTGCATTCGGCTAACCGGTTTTGTCGACAGAAGTCGCCGTGGGTACTTAACGGTAACGTTATAACAGAACACAGTTTTTATGGGATACAATCACTAGTTTATTCTAAAAGCACGACGTTTCGACAAGTATCCTCTTATCGTTGATAACGATAAGAGGATACTTGTCGAAACGTCGTTGATAACGATAAGAGGATACTTGTCGAAACGTCGTGCTTTTAGAATAAACTAGTGATTGTATCCCATAAAAACTGTGTTCTGTTAATTTGTTCCCTGATCGCTAAATGCCACTTAAAGAATAGGTAACGTTATAGGTGTCGACAAAAGTCGCCTTGGGTCAGTTAAGAGTTACGGTCATGAGACAAAGAAGCCTATCAATTTTCAACGATTATGGCAATATATATTAAATGTTTTGTATGCTAAATGTTAGAATAGGGCAGAACTAGAAGCTGAATTGGTTGTTACTCATAATCAGATTTCAGTGCATTGTAAATGTTTTCATTTCTGACAAAAGAAAAGATATTCGATAATGCTTGTACACTCCTGTATGACTTAGCTGCTGTGGGCGTATGTTTCGTTGCCTTTGAGTGACAACCTATCTTTAAATAAAGTTTTTCATGTTATTATATTTATATGATGATATGACCTAAAAAAAATAATCGGTGCAATATATTCGTTACTGCAGACACACAGTTATACCAATATCTTTTTATTGTCAGAAATAGAATACAGGAATAAATTTCAATTGCATTATCATCATATTTACATACTTTTACTGACATTAATTATCTACTTGGTGAAACCCATTTACAAATTCAACTTACCCATTTGAAATAAGTGTTACCAATTTGAATAACATCTTTCAGTTTTTCTGAATAAAAATATTATGCAGATAGGATTTCAGCTAAATATTAATAAAGACATTGTGTTAAGGGAAAACATGAAGATGATTTTAAATGTTTTTTTTATAAAGGTGTAAACTATAATAATAATAAGCCATGTATCTAGATTAAAATTCAGTCTATTTTCCTACTGACTTCAGTAATACATGAACATGTACTACTACATAGTAAAAGGGATCAAAAATGTAGGACTAGGAGCCTAAGAAATGTTTGTTAAAGTATGTAATAAAATAAAACCTTCAAGTTGAAAAGGGAAAACATTAGTTTTTAATAGATAGATTGTCAAAGAAAGATATAATACAGTATATAAATTTCAGCATTAAGTTCCACAAGGTTAATAGTTTGAAACAGTTAACAAGCTCTATAAATATCTTGTCTCAGTCACCCAGAACGTCCTAATCTTCAATGTACCACTTTTGAAGAAATGTGACTGCATAATCAACTACATAAATAACCAAACTTCTGGTAAATTACACAATGGCAATGGAAATTGTTGAGTTGAGGTGAAGAAAGAGTTGCATTTGCATCCCTTCTCTGGATGACAAATTAAGATAAATACAGAAATTTTACAAAATTAGGAGTATTTGATGTTGAACACAATGCAAACAGATTTGTCTGAAATGACAGTTGTCCTCAGGCTTTCAGTTTTTTTTCTGCCAAAATAAATAATAATTTTCATGTAAAAAAAAATATTCATATTTTATTTTCGCCAACTGGAATATTTTATCTGCCAAAAATGTATGATAAAAAAAAGACAACATGTAACAATTTTATTTCTCAGGTAGGCCTAATATGAAACAACTACCTGTATATACAATACACAACAACTTACAAAATATGTCTTTACATAATACATTTAGCACAGACTTGAGATGATTTACTAGGATCAGATTTTTATCTTTGGTGACTTTAGTCTTCTCGCACACGGTAATGCACAATATATTTTCAGTATTTACACGTTAAATCTCATCCAAGGATTGCCAATTTTCTATAAATTTATGTTTTGCGTGTACAATAGGCCAATTGTTATTTTCAGGTACCGTAACGATATTAGAATCTGAATCCCTGGTAGAAATTTCTATGTCATTTGTAAGGGATGCTTACAATCAATCTCGTTCACTTAAGAGCATTTTGGCGGCGGAAATGAAACAAATGGCGGACCGTTTTCTCTCTTGAGAATCGTTGCTATTCGACCCATTCTTACGTTTCCAACCAATGATAATATAATTTGAAATAATAATATCCGATTATGCATGCTTGTATATTTTACATGCCGTATGAAGCCACAGTAAATGGAATTCAACTATCAAAGTATTCAATTCTCTTGGAAAAGATTTGTCAGCTATTTAGATTGTTTTCATTTTTTTAAGACGAAACGGAATATCAAATAATCACTGCTTAGATAATGACTTGAGATAGGCTTTATATAGATCATTTGCAATTATCAATCAACTAATCATTAATCCGAGACAATTGGTTAGTATTACTCATTGACACAATCTGGATTATCAGTGAGTTGATTAGTTATAGTATACCGCCACACGATTGTGATTGACACTCAATGTAATGGACAATTTGGATATATACGATTAGAATTCTAAGATATTTTCCGCCAGTTCTCAAAAAGAATCACCAATACCCCAAAACGTTATCACCAAAAATATCACCAAAATCAAATTTTAATCGCCACTTTCATATTTTTATCGCAAACTGCAACTTTGGCGACCAACATCATGGACCCTGGTTGTCTGAATGATAGAGACTATAAATATCAGTCGCATTTTAATATATTTATTTGCCTCTCTGGGTATATAAGGTCCACTGTAAAGTACATGTGAATAGATTATCTTTGAAAGGAACAATACTGGTAATTTATTCGGCATTTGAAAGGAAGGTCACAAAAACTAACATATTCCAGTGTACAGTACACAGATACACAGATAAAATATTCATTCTATTTGTTTCGTTTGAATTTGATTTATCTGTTTAGTTTTTGATTGTTTAATTTTTGTTAATGAAGTTGATTCTTTTAAACTTTGTTTTTATTTTTGAATTCTACTTGGTGTAGGTGTTCATCAGGTAATACCTCGACTGAGTCAATATAGAGATTAGCCGGTTGATTTGTTGATATAAACCTTTGAATAATAGCGCCTAACAGGCAGCTGTGTTTAATTATGTTCTCCTGATTTTGATTGTTTCTGTGTGTTTGAAGTATATGTTTGTGATATGCGCTTAGAAACACTTCACGTGTAATGAAGCGCTATATAAATCGAACAATAATAATAATAATAATTCTGAACTCAACAACTGTTTACTCCAAAGAGCAAAAATCATGTGTCGATTTTCCAACAAATTATGCAATTTATCATAATTTAATACTATTGAGATAAAATTGTCAAAAATTCTGTACTTGCAGACTAAAATCTTAAGAGATTCTGCTGACTGGTTGAGAACCCCACTTTCCCCTTTGGCACACCATAAAACACCTTAACTATTTAGGCTATTGA